GAAGTCTTACGGCACGAGATGAAGTGAGTCATCTTAGAAAAACGATCCACTACCAGGAAGACTGAATCCACACCTCTTTGTGTTTGGGGAAGTCCCAACAGAAAATCCATACTCAAATCTTCCCATATATCCTTGGGCACAGGTAGAGGAGTATACAAACCAGTATTCTGCACTTGTCCCTTTGTAATTTGGTACACTTGACAGCTCCTCACAAGTGTTGTCACGTCCTTCCTCAAACTTGGCTAATAGTATTTCTCTTCAAGAGTCAATACAGTCTTGTCTCGCCCAAAGTGTCCAACAAGCCCGTCACCATGTAAGTCTCGAACTATCTTCTCCCTTAATGACGTTCTGGGAATACAAAACTGATTTCCTTTAAACAGAAAGTCGTTCATGATAATATAATCTCCTGCGGGTTGTCTTGTCGAACACTTTGCTCAAATCTTCTGAAAGTCTTCATCATCAACATAAAGCTCTTTCAAACAGTCAAAAGCAACAACTTCACCTCGCAACACGCTCAACAAGGATACCCGCTGACTCAAAGCATATGGTACCTTATTGTCGACTCCTAATTTATGTCGCAAAGTAAAATTAAACTACTCAAAATACGAAGCCCAACGTCTATGCATTTTGTTGATATGCCATTGATTCTTGAAGTGTTGAAGAGACTGATGATCGGAGTAAATTACGAAGTCGTTAGCAATGAGGTAACTTTCCCAAGTCTTCAAAGAACGATAAACAACATATAATTCCTGCTCATAAGTACTCCACTTCTGCTGAGCTTCATTCAACTTTTCTCTCAAGAAAGCAATATGGCGCTTCTCTTGAGAGAGGACTGCTCTAATACCTACACCATACGCGTCGCACTCAAATTCAAAGAGCTTGTCGAAATCTGAAAACATTAATATAGGTGCAGTAGTAATCTTCTCCTTGATAAGGGCAAAAGCTGCATTTGCTTCTTCGGTCCACTCGAAACACCCTTCTTCTTCAAGCTATTCGTCATGGGAGCAACTATAGAACTGAAATTGCGAATGAAACATCGATAAAAAGATGCTAACCCATGAAAGCTCCTTACTTCAGTAACACTTTTCGGAGTCGGCCAATCTTTGATTGCTTTGACTTTATCTTCGTCAACCTGGATCCCTTGCGAGCTTACCACAAACCCTAAGAACACTAACTGAGTCGTCAAGAACACGCACTTCTTAAAGTTGATGTAAAGCTCGTTCTCCTTTAGCACTCGAAAAACTTCTCAGAGATGCAACATATTCTCCTGTTCATCTTGGCTATAGATGAGAATGTCATCAAAGTAGACGACTACAAATCTTCCCAAGAAAGGCTTCGGAATTTGGTTCATCAAACGCATAAAGGTGCTTGGAGCGTTCGATAACCCAAAAAGCATCACTAACCATTCGTAGAGACCCTTACTGTTTTTGAAAGCAGACTTCCATTCGTCACCAGGTCGGATTCGGATCTGATGATAGCCACTCCTCAAGTCGATCTTCGAAAAGATGCTCGCATCTCCCAACTGGTCTAGCATGTCATCTAACCGAGGAATGGAAACATGTAGCGAATTGTGATCTTGTTAATGGTTTGACTGTCCACACACATCCGCTAACTTTCGTCCTTCTTTGGTGTCAACAGTGCTGGAACTGCGCATAGACTCATACTCTTTCGAACGTGACCCTTCTTAATGAGGTCCTCAATGGTATCCTGTAGGATCTTTTTCTCCTGTGGGTTCATACGATAGTGAGAAAGATTAGGAAGCACTCAACCCGGAATGAAATCAATGTGGTGTTGAATATCCCTCATGGGAGGAAGTCCCTCTGGCAGCTCTTTAGGAACCAAAATTTCAAAGTCCTTAAGCAGTGACCTCATCTTCTCTGTGATCTCAATGAGTGTCTTCACTTCTTCCTTCACTACTAAGGTAAACCTCTGTTTTAACTCCTTTGACTCGGCTAGAAATTTATCCTTGTTGCAAAGAGATATTCGTTTGGACTTTTGATCTTTAGGGTGCTTTGGAGAAGGTGGAATAGGTGGTAGGATGATCTTCTTATTATTCATACGAAAGAATATCCATTCTTCTTGCCGCCATGCTTAGCATCGACGTCATACTGTCACGGTTGCCCCAACAATACATGGCATGCATTCATGTCCACAATATCACAAGTAACAGAGTCATGATACGTCTTCCCTAGTGATAGTGGCACACGACATAATTCAGTCACCTTAACAGAGGGGTCCTTCTTGATCCATCCTATAGTATAAGGTACGGGTTTTGTTTCTGTTGGTAAGTGTTCCACCAAGGCCTTCGACACAATATTCTTACAGCTTCCGTTGTCAATGATGAGGGTGCACACCTTGTTGTTGACTGAACACCTAGAAAAGAAGATTTGATGTCGTTGTGATGAATCTGGAGTCTTCTAGGCGCACAGGAGTCGTTGAACAACACACGACACGTTATCGCCCTCAATCTCGGCAACCTCTTCCTCATAATCTTCGTCAGATGTTGTGTGTCCGTCTTCTGCCTCTTCATAATCCGCTAGATTAACCTTTCGTCGCTGCGGGCACTCGTTGGACTTGTGTTCTGGTTGGAGACATTGGAAACACTTTCCTGCAATCGGCTTAGCATACTGATTTGATTGAGTCGTTTGGGGTGGTGGTTGAGTTGTCGACCGCTTAGTTGATTGTGGTGGATTAGACCGATCAGTCGTCCTTGGCCCTGCCGACTCACCTCTTGCCTTCTCGACCAAACTTTCCTGATCGGTTCGCCTAAAAGGTGGTGTTTTGGAGGCCAACCGTTCCGCCTTTAGAGCCATATTGTAGGCTGTCCACGGAGTATACATTGTGGATGACCACCTTCTCTTGAATTGAGTACTTTAAACCGTCGATATACTTGGCTGCGAGTTGTTCCTCGCTCATCGATAAATCGCAACGAGAAGTAAGACGGAAGAACTTTTCGGTGTAGGCGCTTACTGATCTGATGCGTTGATGGCATTGCTTGAACTGGTTGTAAAGGATCTGTTGGTAGTCGGATGATAGTAACCTAGCCAGGAGTAATTGTTTCATGCGTCGCCAAATCCGAACTGGTTGCTTACCTTGTCGTCGCCTAATGTTTTAAGTCTGATCCCATCATGCCGCGGCTCCTCTTTAAGACGATATGCTACAAACTTCACCTGGTTTTCTTCGGGCATATTAGCCATCTCAAAGAACTTCTCCACTTCATATAGCTAATCCAAGAAAGCCTCTATGTCTAGATTTCCTCAAAATGAGTGGAGTTCTACCTATATCTGGTACTCTTGGTCGTGATGATGTCTGCCCTGTCGGTGATAATTACGACGAGGGTTGAAGCCTCTGCCTCGACCTCTGCCATAAGATCACCCTCCTTTGCTCGAGACGTTGTCGTACCATGGTCCCTCAAATTGGGCACCATAGTCTGCTCCTTCGTCACTGGATTCTGCTCGAGACGTTGTCGTACCATGGTCCCTCAAATTGGGCACCATAGTCTGCTCCTTCGTCACTGGATTCATCATGTGGAGGGATGGTCCCTCAAATTGGGCACCATAGTCTGCTCCTTCGTCACTGGATTCATCATGTGGAGGGGGTTGGTTAGGATATCGTCTATGATGTTGAGGGGGTTGATATGGAGGAGGTTGATACGGAGGGGGTTGATATGGAGGGGTTTGGTTTGGACGTGGTTGATATTGAGGGGATGAACTGGAGGGGGTTAGGGATTGTACAGGGGTAAATGTCGGGGTAGCCTAACTCTAGGTTTGCTTAGGTGAAGACCGTCGGTGAAGTTATTCCTATTGTTGAGGTGAAGGGTAAGTCCTTCAATGGCTTGTTGAAGGTTCTGAAGTGACGCCTCCAACGTGTCAAATTTTCTATCCATAGAATCCATCCTTGCGGAAAGATTCTGTAGAGAAAGTTCATTCTCACCGTCATCTGCCATTGTCGAGGATGTTGAAGCCGAAGTTCTAATACCACTTGACGCAGATGTAGAAACGAGGAGGCCGATCGGATATCATTCTGATGCCGACGAGCTCTGACAACAGCAGGTAATTCACGAGCTTGAATCCACAAGCTCTAAGTTTCTCAAAGTTGAGAACGAAAACAAGGAGAAAAATTCTCTCAATAGAATAAATGAAAAGTTGATTTATAATTTACAAAAGGAAATAATATTTATAGCCAACTAAATCTATCCTAACTCTAATCAAAAGAAAACTCTAAGTCCAAAAGGAAAATACCAAATCCGAAAAAGAAACAATAAAAAAATGAACTCTTTCCTAATCTGAAATCCGAGTCGACACGAGACGTGGCGAGTAGTAACACATTTCGTGTGGACTAGACATGAGCCGACTAACATGTGTCGACTGACTCCCTTTGTGTCGACTGGGACGTGTCGACTGGCAGGTGTTGACTAACACCACCCTTCGTGTCGACTGGGGCGTGTCGTTCGTCCTGTCGACTGGGGTCTCGACTGGGATCTCGTCTTGTCGATTGGGGTCTCGGAATCTCATCTCGTCTAGTTTGTTGTCGACTCCTCTGGTTCGAGCCGTCGAGTTGTAGATCTCCTGTATCAATTTGGGTGGTAAGCAAGCACACCATAGTGACCACAACCATGGTTTCTTCTATTTTTTAGTTTGAACCAAACACTAAAAAAAAGAGGGAATCAATTCACACATCAACTACTTTCAATTGAACCAAACTAATGAAAGTGATGGAAAGTAATTACGCCCCATGTTTTTTGGCGAAACAAACACAAGAAACACTCTTCCAAGAATGTGATGGAAACACTAAAAAGTGAAGGAAAGTGGGTATTTGGAAAATGAAGGAAAGCAACCAAACATTCCCTAGGGTAAAACTGTAAAAAGAGTCAGAAAAAATCACTCAGGGGGTCTGTTCGCAACAATAAAACAACAGGTTTTCTATCTGCAATTTGGGTGTCTATCTGCAAATAATCCTTAATTTCTTAAGATACTGAATGATTATATTTCTATTTACAGGGAATGTTAATGAAGGGATATCCATCATGGATTTGGTCCGCTCCATTTTTAAACCTCTTCAGTGCCCTTCAGTGCTTTACTGTTGCCATTGCAGTTAAGAGGAATTTGAACAAATGGAAGCTACACTGAGATGAAGAACTGCTCGCAATAGCATGTAATGTAAATGAATTTGACCACAACACTACTTATTTCCCTTCGAGTTTGATTATGGTGTGAGATATGTATGTATTTCATAAATAGTACTACACTAATTGATAGGAGAAATTATTTTCCTTTTGAGTTTGATTATCGTGTGTGATATGCTTGCATTTCATAAATAACGGCCGGTTTCGCAACTCCTCCCATTTCGGGAACCAGCCTAAACAATTTTGGTTATGGCTGCTGGGGGATGGTCTTTTTTTTTTTACTTTTCTTTTTTTTTTTTTTTTCATGTGTGCTGGTGGGTGGGTGTGGGGAGTCTGGAACAACCCTTCCCCAGTTAAAGGACAAAAAAGTTGGCCTAACAAAACCAGTTTAAGTCCTGTTCCAGTTATTTGCCAAACTTGGATTAATCCTTTACCACTAAATCGATTTAACTCAAGTTGCCAAACATGCCCTGGTACTACCCAAGCAAAGGAATGTAATTTTTTCCTAAGTAATCAATAAGTCATTTACTTGCATCGATGATCATGGCTCAATGAGTTCAAAATTGAGACTGCAGGATGTGTTGGTGTAAGCACTTTTGTTATGCTTGCAAACTTGGTGTATTCACTAAAGAGTC